TTCTTGATCAGAGAAAACATGAAAACTTTCAAAACAAACTTCTAAAACGCTACAGGCATCCATCATTCATCAACAGCTGCGTAAGAGACTTATTTGCGTAACACCATGAGAAATGAACAGTTTTATACGTTAACAAATCAACAGAAAATAGGTTTATAGATAGTAAATTATAGTAATGAAAGAGAGAAAATGGAAATGGATTGGACACACCTTGAGAAAAGAGAAAACAAATATTACCCAAAGAGCCTTAAGATTTAATCCACAAGGAAAGAGAAAGAAAAGAAGGTCTAAAAGTACTTGGAGAAGGGACCTAGATTCCGACCTGAAGGAGATGGGGTACTGCTAATTTGAGGTGGAGACTAATAATAGTCCAGGAAGAGAAGATACAGGTAACCATCATCATCAGCAGCGCAGCCTTTCTCATACCGTATCGGAGCCCCACCCTAACTCCACACGCCTGTGCTTCATACACGAAAACAAGAGAACTGTAAATATTGTCACCGCCAACAAAATCAACAACGACAACAGCAACAACAACAACAACAACAACAAAGACAACAACAACAATAACAAAGACAGCAACAACAACAACAACAACAACAAAGACAACAACAACAACAACAACAACAACAAAGACAGCAACAACAACAACAACAACAAAGACAACAACAACAACAAGAGCAGCAGCAGAGATGGAGAAGCAGAAGCAACATCTGCTGCAACATCGAGAACAACAACAATAATAACCTTAAAAACAGCAACACCAACACCGACAACAGGATGAACACCACACAGATACCATCCAACCAATAATGATTGAGGATTCCGCTTTCATCAGTCGGTTCGTATCGTAAATAAAACAATATTGTGTCTAGGTAAGCCACATAACATGACATAACATGATAAAAGATACGATTCATGAGATTGCCATCGAGTTAAATGCGAACTGCTTCTGCAAGATTAAATTAAATCAAAATGATGAAACTATCTAGTTTATTTTCACGAAGGTATCATATTATGCGAAAGGTTGTATTTAACAATAGTTTTTTGTGCTACTTTTCCTTCTTCCATAGTTTTTTCCCTCATCTTTTCCCCTGGCTCTATGCCTGTTCCCCTGTTCTCAACAGTAGTTCCATCGCATTTCTCCTCTTCTCTTTTCAAGGGACGGGGCGGGGAAGGGGAGGGTATCTTTTTCAATTTTATAACACTTCTACCTTTTGTTTTCTTGTCTTTGTTCGGAACTCAATCTACTAATAATTGGAATAATAATACATAACATTTGTTTAACGCATTATATCCCCAATGAACAGCAATTAATTCTATGCGCTTTGCTATCTTTATTACTACCCCAGTAAACACTAGAGCGCTCAGAACATTGTCAGCTTCTTGGGACGCATGCAGTGAAAGCAACAGAAGAAGCGCTCAAACACTAACAAACTGACCAGATTTTCCGTTTGTCTTTCGCCGAGTACCAATTCCGACGTGGGTAAAGTGCCTTCCTTTCCCAAGGACACAATGTCATGACCCTGACGGGGTTCGACCGCAGGACCTTTGGGTTGGGAGCCCAGCTGTCTAACCACTAGACCAACAGGCAGTTGTTGTAGTTGATTCAAACGCTGCGTTGGGTTCACTTTATCCGTTTGCGCTTCGAGTTGTCTATGACGTGGATTGAGTCTTGCATCGCCAGAGGGCTGGAAGCAATTTACCACATAACCATTTTATCTTCTGGTGGGGGATTCCAGTGAAATTCTGTGTTGTAATCCTTCTCTTCCAGGGCAGGAAAGTAACGAAGGCAGGCTAAATATTAAATTTTGGCAACAATTTTGCAATGCAAGGGGGAAAGAATGTGTTGGGGTTACATGGATTTTGGGGATGGAGTAGCTATTTTTGTTTGGTTTTTCTCCTTTCTTATTGGGGATTTCTTTGTTTTGTCTAGTAAGGTGGCCCACAAACCCACATAAACACACACACACACACACGCACGCGCGCGCGCGCGCGCGCGTACACACACTCGTACACACACACAAATGCACGTGTGCACACAGACACGTACACATACAAAGACACACAAATAGACAGGCATAGATATATACATAAAAAGTTACTCAGAGACTGGAAGAGAAAGAGAGAAAGGGACCGAGAAAATGACAAGAGAGAGACAGACAGAGAGAGAGAGAGAGAGAGAGAGAGAGAGAGAGAGAGTGAGAGAGAGAGAAGGAGAGAGAAAGAGAAAGAGAGAGGAGGGAGAGGTATACAAAGAGTACGGAGTTGATATAATAATATAATGCAAAAATTTCATAGCTAA